GGGTGGGAGTTGCAAGCGCACGGTTCACACATGTTCCAGAAATATCGGAAAGAAGGAATTAGTGCAGAGGGGTCCATGCACTCTTTCCCAGTTGCAGCCGGGGAATGTTTGTTGGGTGCCATGTTGACGATGGCCTTGATGTCTTGTTCGCAGCGGTTCGCTTGGGCCCTCGAACAAGTCGTTTCCTGCGCGGTGGAACCGTGGCTGTGTCTTGTTTTGAGGATACCCGTTTTTTGTGGCTTTAAATAAATCGGAACCAAAAGGAAAACCACCCTTTGTTGGGGTCCGACTTTCAAAAAAGAATCACCCATATTCTGCACGGAGAGCTTGGCTGCGGTTAGGCTGCTCTTCGCAAATGCGCCGAGCCAGAACCTGCGCCGCTCGGATTCCGACACGACTTGCACGTCAAGGGCATATAAACCGGATGGTGGGACCAGGAGGTGGTAGAGGTGTAGGTTGTCAAGGGCATGTTCCAGTGGATTGTCATATTCTCACTTGTTTGGAGTTAGAGATTAGATACCACTGAGATTTGAGGGTCTTGTCAAAGGGACGCCTTCTGGGACCGTTTCGGTCACCTGTGCAGTCTTTGAAGCGGAGTCCAAAAGGGGTTTCATTCGTAGTACACGAGATCAATCAGCTCAGTATGCGTTCATTAGAGCAGAACGGGTTTCCCTTCAAAGTCCACCAAAGAAAGGTGTTTGTATCTCCTTTTTCCCAGTGGAGGTGCGGGACGGGCACTAAAAGTGGATCAAATCTCGACGATACAACACAAACGACAGGAGGTGGGGTGTAGTGCAGTCAGAAATTTGCTGGGTCACAAACATGTATCCATGTTGCGACAAATTCGCCTGCCTTCCACTTGTTTTCCAGGCATGCTGCGCATTTCACGCTTTCTTGAGTGCGCACGGCACACATCGGCATGTGTTGGCACACTTGGTCGTGCCTGGTCTTTTTTTGAGCTTTGCCTTTGTGGCATGACTTTGGACAGGGCGTGGGAAGTTCGTTGCTGTTCATCGCCTGGGTTTCGCATAATCAATCTGAGTCCCTTGGCCAGACCAGGATGTGATGTTAAAGATGTGAGTGGCCTAGTCTGTTTTCAGCATTCAAGAATCCATGGCATTGCTATGTATTTCCGCCAGCTGCATGTGGGACGCTAGAGGTAGAAAGGAGAGAACCACATGATTTTGCCAGGCTTTGTCATAATATGTCATTGGCAAATCCGCAGAGACATGAGGACCCGTCCAGCACTCCAGACGCGTTCTCCGAATTCTTTTAAGACTCCCTTCCCTTAGGGTTGGGGCCTTTGGTTTCCTCCCCAAGTGACCATTTGGGACGGATATCGAGCAACTCACTGAATATTCCACCAAATAGAGGGGTCAGCAGAATGCCCACGCAGTCCCAAAACCCTCCATACGGCTAACTCTCAGGAAGCCACGTGGCGGTGAGGGCAGTGGACGAGCTTCTTGGCCGAGCAAGCTTTTCTTTTGCTTTGGTTGAAACAAGACAGCTGTTTAGGCTGAGTTCTTGTTTGTTTGATTTTTAGTAGGCTGAGTGTGAGCGGCTGAGCTATTTCTAAGCTGTGTCAATGATAATTGTCCTGATTTGGTCTGATAGTACCCAGTCAGCGCATGTCAATTGGTAGCGCCCTAGCAGCACCGCAGCTGTTCTTTTTCTTGATCGCCCAAGTTGATGAAATCTCGCTGTATCTCCCACTGTGTTTGCTGGTTCAAGAGCTTAGCTGACTGCAGGGGTGCCGTGAGGGCTGGACCAAGATCTCAACATGTTGGTTTCTTCCAGAAAGCCATGGGTCCTCGTTCTGAGTGGCAATGACCGACCGAAGACAAGGATCAAAGATCCGAAGGCCTGAACACCCCCAAACTTGTGGCTTTCCTTTTGTTTTCCCTGAAATATCATTCCAAAAGGGGAACATGCTTACAAAACCACCCACGAAATGCTCTGGTGGTTCCATTTTTCTTTGGGCAGTAATCCAATTTGTTTTATGTGTGTCCCTTTCATTTGTGCATGGTCATCCCGTAAATGGACATGAAACAATCAGCGTTTCGCCGAATTTTGAATTACAGACCTTCCATCCAAGGGTTATCCTATTGCCCTGGGATTATGCCCTCAGAGGAATCACCCTATTCTGGCAACCATGTCCAGCTAAAGCCTGGTTATTGTTCGGTTTATTTCCCCGATCTGGGTAGTTAAGTTAGGCTGTACCACCTTTCCCAGTCGCAGAGCTTTCGACGGGATCTCCATCCCAGGCGTGATGAGGGCTTGGTGCTCATCACGCCAGAGGAGTCTGGGAAGGTGGTGAAGAGGGACGTGAACAACAACCCGCCCCGCATTGTGCCCTGGCCGGCTGTGCAGTTCTGGCAACGAACAAGTTAGTTTCATGGAAACCTGAAAGGATCCTCTTGGAGGTCAGAAAGTCGTACATTTCTGGATCTGCTTTCCGCAAGATGGGGAGCCTCCCGGAACCGGCACGTAACTTGTTTTCGATTGCGAAGACTAACCAAGTCCCTAGTCGCAGAGGTGGGCATTTTTTCAGCCTGGAAGACTTGGTATGCCTTCCCCAGTTATCTCAGGATCATGCGTCACTTTTGCCTAAAGTTTTTCTTGCATGCTTTGGAATCCCTTTGTTTTTAGTATCTGTGCTGTTTTTCGCAAAGTCTCCCTGCCCCCCGTGGTGTGTTTGTTTGTGGCTGGATGTTGAAACATAGGGACCCCCAGGATGCAAGCGCAGGTCATGAAGACCAACGACTGGGACCAGCCGGAGATCCAGCTGAGCACCGGCGCCAGCAACCAGGCGCCTTTTCGGGGATGATGTTGACCCCACATTTGCCCTTCTTCCAACATGCAGTCTGCACGGACAACCCTGGAAGACAGTTCGTTCGCCCTCAGAGGGGGCAGGTTCCATTGCAGGGAGGGGTGGGGCGTGCCCAGAAGTGATGCGGATCGCCTCTGACCAATTCATCAACCTGGAGATATTGCTGGGTTTGTGAGCTATAGAGCCTCAGCACGAGCCAGTCCTGCTTGCCGAATGTGCGTAAGACACCCTGAACGTGTGCATGGTAGTGGAATTAGCATGAGCAAGAAGTGGAAGCCGATTCAAACAACCGACTGCTTCCTTGTTTTGTCAAGTCTTACCAACCACAATCATGAAGGTGCGTGAGATATTTTTTTTGAAACGTATCATCCTCTTGAAAAGGCCCCTTGTACCTTGTACACTTCAATTATTCTTGGGGAAAGATTTGTCTTTTTTTGGGTGCAGGACGGGGTTGCGTTTTAGTGCTGTGCTGTAGATCAACTACATTACCCCGGTGGTTGCGTCTGATGACATCAAAGCCTGGTCGGGGCCCCGGAGCGTTGCTTGCTTTGCCGCCATTTGCGGAAGCTGACCAGCACATCAAAATGAACCCCGTTCTTGGTCAAAAAATGTATGGCCCGCAAGGCTGGAACCAGAAGCTGAGGTTGTCGCTGAACGTGAACTTCTTTTCTATCCTGGCTCTGCTCACCGTAGGCCGGGCGATCTCAGCACAGGTCGGGTCTGAACCTCAAGCTGCTTTGGTTGAGGGAGACCCCTTGGTGAATTCTGAGCATGTCTTGGCAGCCCTTGACTGCCTAAAATGATGAGATTAACGCATACGTTGGAGGGACCTCGATCCTTGAGGCAGCGGTGTTTTTTTTTCCAGCCGATTCTGGCTTCGTCCAGCAGTCCGTCTGGGAAAAAAGGAACCATGCGTAGTTCAAGAAACAAAGAAACAGGCACCGCGGATTGAGATCAATCGAGCTGAGAGCATACCCATCAATCTTGCTTTGCTCTTTCCTCATCGCAAGCAGTCCAAGTCATCAGATTGCTTCTTTCTGGGTTATTCATTTCAGGCAGTCTTAGCGTGGTTGAGGTAGTGTGATAGATGATTTTCATGTTTGCTAGGGGTTGTCAAATGTTATCACACAAGTTCAATTGCAACGCTTGTAAAGAATTGTTGGCTTCTCTCGAGCCACAAGCAACATCCGGGTCAGTGAGGGATAACCACAGGACAGTCCAGAGCATTGCGTGTAGTTCCTGCCCTTTTGATTCTTGCAATGGCTTTGGGTGGACCCCCTTGCCAAGTTTTGCTGACTCACTTCACTGGTGTGTGGTGGTTCCCCGCGTTTAAGACAAGCCCACGGGCGTGTTGCCATGTTTAGGCGGCATCATCGAGATCCAGCGGTTCTTCCCTGACACCCTCTACTGGTGAGCACGGAGAGTAGGAGAGCGACGGCGTGCTGCAAAGTTCCAAAGAAGACGGGAGTGGCCGACGAAGCCTGCCGTCCATGGGACCTCTTCGGGAAGATGTGGGTATTTCTAGAGGTCATAGAATTGGAGAAACTTCTTGGAAGGGACGATGTGGGTATGTATAGAGATCTTCAATTATAGAGAAACACATTTGCTTGTTTACTTGAATGTCAGGTGTTAGGGCCTGGTAACTCAATGAATACGTGGGTGGGCCGAAGGTGAATGAGAACGACTTTCGGCCATGCCTTTTTGAACAGCGACCAGCTGCGCAGACGCCGGAAAAGGAGCCCAGGCTTGGGCTATTGACTCACTGGACTAGAATCCCCCCAGCATTTGCCACTGGTCAAAGTGTGGCAGTCTCAGAAGTGGCAAGCAACCTCATTTAGACAAAGACACCTCTGTGGATGGTCGAAATCCTGCACCAGTTGGGATGGATGAAATCCTGTAAATAGTGGGATACACCACCTACCAACTGGCGCAGGATTTCATCCATCCACATTGTTGTTTTTTCTCCGGGACTCAGGCAGTTCGCTTGTATGTGAGTGATCCCTGGCCACCAGACATCCGGAAGGCTGAGGTGAGGCCGCCTTGACTCACACCCGAACACATAGAGGGACTTCAAAGATGTTGGTTTTGAGAGATCTGATCTCCGCGACTCCAAGATCAAAGGTCCCACAGGCCGGTGCTGTTGGGCGCTTGTTTCTCCCTCGCAGATTCGCCGATTCGCAACTGTGCAAGGGTTGCCAGCGTTGCCTGGCTTTCTACTGGCCGTGCTGGGCTCCACTTTGCTGGAGCCTATGTTTCAAGCGCATTGCAGTCCTCAGTTGGCTCAAACGGACCGGAAGAGCTTGGCTTCTAGGTGCCCCCAGGATGCGTGCATTTTGCTTTGGCCGAAATAAAGTCTGGGCAAGTAGCGACATCACCTAGTGGGGAGTCGCGACCTTGTCCTAGAAGAAGGTTGCTTGCTTGGGGGCTCACAAAGTCTTACAGTTCCCATGGCCACTCCAGGCAATTTTTGCTAGTTCCTGTCAAGAATTAAGGGTTCGACGTTTGCCAACGAACTGGCAACCGGGCTAAATTCGTTGTTTTGCGAGTGTTCAATGGATGTCATGTGCCATGATGTTTGGAACGTGACCCCCAAGTAGTTGGAGTTTTCGAAGGCTTTGCAGACCATGGATATTTACTGGTGTGTGATCTAGTGTGAGACCTTGGGTTTGTTTCGCGGGTTGGCTTATCTGCAGCAAACTGGCGCGTTCTTTGTGACCATTGTGACTGGCAGGGTGCTGGGTGCTCATCGTCGTTGGGGCTTGTAAAGACAGAGAGAGAGAGAGAGAGACAGACCGGCAGACAAACAGACAGGCAGGCAGACAGGCAGACAGGCAAACAGGCAGATAGATGATAGATAAATAGATGCTCGAATGCAGCTTGTTGACCGATTCCAGAAGGTGTTGGGTTCTAGCGAGCCAATTGCTTCAGTCAAAAGGCTTGCCCTCACGGACAGGAGGGTTGCAACAATGCGTCAACTGGGAATTGCAGGCTTCACCTTTCTTGATCCCCCAAATTGGGAGTGTCTTTGGTTTCCTGTTTAAGCAATGACAAGGGTACCCTGAAAAAGACACCTGGCGAAGCACCTGGTGCTGAGGTACAGCATCATGGCCCGCCTTACCAGCCTGGTCTTGGTTGCCGCATGTACCCAAGCTGCAGGAAATGGCTCATGTCTCGACTGGCCTGTTTGGCGACAATTCCGGAAGCCCAACTGAGAACCTTCGGAGCAAGTATAACCACTGCATGGCTGCCAACCGGCGCTCGAAAGGCAAACAAAAGACCTGAAAGCATACAAGCTTCCCTTTTCCTACAGCGAGTTTTGCAAGACTACTGTCCTTTTGAGGCTTTTTGTCGACTTGATTGGTATGCCTGCCTTTTTGGGGGCGTGAAAGCCTCAGACGATCTCAGGCGTACTCCTTGGCAGCCGCCTCTCCACGTGCCTTGGCCAGTTTGGTGCCGCTTTGGGTTTGAAAGGCAAATTTATTGCGCAGTGCCCTGCCACTGACAAAAAAAAAACACGCCGCATGTGAATATTCAGGCCCCAAATGTTGAGTGCGTGTTAGCCACGCACACATGCCGCATTCGGGCTGGCAGCTTTGAACTGCAGCGCCCTTTTTGCAAGCAAAGTGAAACGACTGGATTTGACCTTTGCGTTCCCCATGTTTTGCTTTCAGTCATAGCATCCCGACTGGCTACTTTCTGTTCAGGAATGTGTTCAGTTCCTTTGGGCAAAAGAGACCTCTACCTATGGGCTCATGATGTGTGCAAAAGTTTAGAAGGACATAATTCGATGGCAACCATCCAGTTTGAATCCTTATCGCATTGGCACTTTTGCTAGATCCCGGTTATCCACGATTCAGCTTTCCTGGAACCCGCTTCAACCTTCAGCAATGTTTCATGCGGCAAGGGGCACAACTAAATGAAGAAACTCTTTGTTGCACTGGTACTTGACAAGTCATAGGAGAAGCTGCACGCGTGATACGCGCAAGTTGTAGTAGCGGTTGACACCTTCCAAGATAGCTGACCAGGACATGCAGAGCTGTCCGCATCCTGCTTTGGGTAGGTAAACTTCTTTCAAGATAGGAATGTCTTTGCGCTGTCCATGGCAGGATGTTCAACAAATCGTTCTTCAATGTTGTTCTTTCAAAATCAGACAGTTCGACGCAGGTGGGGGGTCAAATTCAGGCCTCCAAATGGAACTCTGGCAAAGGAAACAAGGACTAACCTACGGTCCCCTGGTAGTTTATTTTGACCATATTTGGCCCGTAGATGATTCATGTCATGCCAGTGAATCAGTGCATAAACTCCATGTTTCTCAGGAGACAGCAGCAGCGTGGTCTCAAAGTATGGGGGCCCCAAGAATGGTTAGTGTCCTTTGAGTTTCCCTTTAAACCCACCCCCAAAAGGGTACCGGGAAAAGAAAAAAGCACACACGCACCAAACAAAGGACCTGCGTGAGCCTATTCACCGTGTTCTGTGACTTCAGGCTGCTCTTCGCTAGCGCTCCCTCCCAGCAGCTGCGCTGGGGCCTTAAGCAGAAGTGGAAATCCACAGGAAAGCCAAGGATTGCGAGGCGCTAGGACCAAATGCCGATGGGTCAAAATTAAATCACCATGGGACCGCAGGTTTTAAGTCCTTGTTTCCATGGAAACCAGGGCAACCCATGTTGGGGTTACATACCCTGTTTTTGACCCACACCCAAATTTGAGCTGAGTTTAAGTTTTGAGAGTCTCCTGTTGCTGTTCAGTACACTCGGCAGGTGAGACTATGATCATTATTGAGTCCACTTGTGGTGTTGAGTGTCTTGTTGCAGTTGCTCTGGCTCCTTCCAACTTGAGGCCTTTCAGAACCCCGTCGGTGAATGTAAGCTTCGTGGCTCAGTCATTCAGTTCCTTAGGGGTTTCCATTTAACCCACGAAGTTAAAGTCTTAGCAGATCTGAGGACAGCCCAGGGTGCATGTAGGATGAATGCTCAATGCAGGTTTGACTGAGGTTTAAGCCCCCACAGAATGCTCGGTGTACGTCCATGTACGTCCCCAGTCACAAGCGAATCCGGTCAGGAAGCCGCGTGATCACCCGGGCCGTGGACGAGCGGCGTGGCCTGAAGACTTGAAACACAAAAAGCAAAAGAGGTGCTCTACCCAGACCTTCAGTGGCGTCCCTTTTTCATGTTTTTGTTTGTTTTCTTTTGCCAAGGGGGGGGGGGGGTTAGGGAAGGGTTGCCTTTTTCAGCCTTTGGGTGTTTCGTAACTTCGATTATCTTCAGGTTTGGCGTTCTTTAGGTTTCTGTCTGGAATGGAACCATAAAGAGTTCCAAGCATAGCTTGTTTTGGTTCACGGTTTTGTCATGGAATCTGCTCTAGAATGGTTTGGGTTACGTAGCGAGTCAAAACGGGGACGGAAGATGAGTGGCAACTGCATTGGGTCCCATGCCTTTTGTCTTTTTGCTATAAACTGCGCAGATGTGGACAGGCGCGACGAGGGCTTGGTGCTCATCACGCCGGAGGAGTCTGGGAAGGTGGTGAAGAGGGACGTGAACAACAACCCTCCCCGCATCGCATCTCGGCAAGCCACAACCATTGGTGTTGTGTTGATCACTTAGATGCAGATGGCGCTTCTTGTTTGGTTCGAATGCTGGTGCTGGTTTTGTGCGGTGAATCATATACCAGCGCCTACGATGGATACCTAGGGTCACTACCCTTGCGGCCAGCTTGGCGCCTATGTTCAGGATGTTTGTGTCATGTTTCACGCTGCTCTGCTAGTTTGTGTTATGTGTTTTTCTGCGCAGACGCAAGTCGTGGATGCGGTATTTTAATGATGACATTGCTTTTGGATGCTTTTGGTTTGGAACAAGCCCATGCAGGATGGCTTGCAATCCCTTTCCAATTGTGAGCAAAATCAAGCTAACAAGGCCCCATGAAAAAGGTCCCTTACTGGATTCCATTTAGGTGGATTCTTGTCTCACTCTCTCTCTCTCTCTCTTTGTCGCGCATCAGAGGTAAACTCCTCGCAGCACCCTACCAGAAAAGATCATCCGTTACTTGCTGGTTCTCAGCAAGGAATGAGTTGGAATTACCCCCATAAAACCATCCCCTATGGTTTCCTTCAAGCGAATCCCTTGGTTCATTCCCAATACCCAGAGTCATTCCCTACCTATCGCACCAGCAAAATCCAAGGTAAGCTGAGTGCAGTCCGGGAAAGGCATTCATCCGGAAATCATTTGTACCGGAGTATGCATTACTGTCTCATTGTCTCATTGCCTCTGATCGACCAACTTTCGCTAGGTCATGAAGACCAACGACTGGGACCAGCCGGAGATCCAGCTGAGCACCGGCGCCAGCAACCAGGCGAGGAAGTCAGCCCCCACCCCGTCTCTGAGAGACGAGTATGGTTTTGCTTGGGGTTCTCCACTGGTTTTTCCCCGGGTTTGCCAAGGGGAGTGTGTCTTGAAGGGGAACCTATCAGAGAGCGTGGAGTTCCCTAGCTTTTCTGTAAGGAAGCCAAACTCAGACATTATATAGCCCGGGGGCGTTCGAAATCTTGCAAGATGTTGCGCATATCAAGGCCTTACCACTGCTTACAACATGCCGAGGCAGTTGACTGAACTTGAAAAAAAAACAACGAAAGCATGATTTTTAAGCGGTCAGCATTAGCACAACTTATTTTCACAGCAGGCGGATGCAGGATGCAGGCGGATGTGGAGGCATGGATTGTCTCTCGTACTGCGCAGATTAACTACATCACCCCGGTTGTCGCCTCCGATGACATCAAAGCGTGGCAATGCACTCAGAAGGGGTTTCGACGTATCATATGGCTCTGCTGCTTGTTTGACTTACCAAACTGTAGATCCCCAGTGTTGAACGCAGTCTTCAAAGGATAAGCGCTCAGCTGTGCAATTACGTTGGATTGGATTGCCGCGAGTTGCAGTCGCTTAAAACCACAAACACAAAGGGTACGCTCCAAAGCAAAGACACACCGCTGTCACAACATGCTTAAAGAGGGTGTTGAATCGCCAAGCCACAGGCTGTCACTGAACGTGAACTTCTTCTCCATCCTGGCTCTGCTGACCGTGGGTCGGGCCCTCAGACAAACTGGATCCCCAGAAAATTCGGCACCATGAGCTCACCCATCAAGCCTTTTGATTCGCTGTTCCTTTTGTATGCTTGGGTTTTTTCAGCTCTCTGCAAATCATGGACACTCGAACAGGGGGTCACAAAGATAATTCTCTACGATGGTTGATGGACAAACAGCCTTCGGGTGTCGGTCTGCCTTAGAAAGAGGTTGGTTCACCGGAGAACCGGAAGGAAAAGCACCATTTGTGCGTCTCATATGTTACGCTCCCTTCGGCAATCCTGGAAGTAGACAGGGGAGGGGTTCCTCAAAAGAAAAGTAAATTTCCCATACCACTTGTCGCTTCTGCTCACCTCCAAGTAAAGCCCCCGGACACAAATATGTTTCGGGACAGGTAGCCACAGCTGATTGAAAGTCATACCATTGTTTGGCGTTTTCTGACTGGACCCCGACCGCCTCTTTGCTTGTTTCCTTCCCATAGGCGGCATCATCGAGATCCAGCGCTTCTTCCCTGACACCCTCTACTGGTGAAGCGCTTCGTTTCCACCATGGGTTGAAGGGAGCCGATCTCGGCTCTGGGCACTGCCCAGCCACGCCTTTTTGAGGCTCTAGAGTCGTGCAATGCATCGACCGACAAAAAGGCAACACGCAAACGAGGCTTGAATGTGCAGGCAGTAACGCAAGGCGGCTCGGTTGCTCAGAGGTATCAGTTGGTGGATCCAATGTTTTATTTACACATGAGTAGTACATGCCCCCTTACGGGGAACATGGGGCCCAATAAATGTCCCACCAACCAAAAGCAGGGATTCAGCACTTCGCCGTTGTACTTTAAGGCCAGCGTACATAACGACGAGCCTGGCTCTCATGTCAATTTCTTACCCTCCGCAACGTGCTTGATCTGGAGGTTACTGGTCGCCCTTCCATTTGCTGTGGACTGAGAGGTTCAATCGTTCAACTCCACTCCGCAAATCTCGCCACCACTCTGCGAGATTGAGCTGTACATACATATCCATTGCCAACACGGAATCCGCACTCCCAGAACTGCCGCGGAATCAACAGGGTTTGGGTTGTTGGTTGTGGCGGGTTTGCTTGAAACATTCAGTGCGACCTTCATGCAGCAGCCGGCTCAGTGGGGATCCAGCGTCAAAAAACGACACGCGCGGGCCTCGGACACATGTCTCATTGCGCTATTGCACTCAGCATGTGCTGTCCGAGGCTGAAGTCATGGCACGCTTCTCCAGCCTGGTGTTGGTTGCTGCATGCTCCTCAGATGCAATCAGTATGTCGTTCGAGGCAGGCCATTCAACTGCATAAATGCATGCGATCCTTCATTGGAGATCTACTCTCCATCCAAAAATCATGACAGCTGACAGGCGTATGTTGGAAGACTACTTTCGTTTTGGGAAGCCCCTCTGTCCACTTCCATGATTGTTGGAAAAAGGGTGTTTTTGTTTGAATGCAATCCTTTTGGTTGGTTTTAAAGGCAGCCAAAGGAAACCAAACATTATTTTTGTCAAGTCGGTTGTAAATATACCTCCCGTTTCCATTCCCTGTGTATTTAGCATTACAAAAGGGTTTCCCTTTGCGAGTTTTGGGGTGTGAGAAACACAGGGGATGTCCAGTAAAGAGAAATCGGACCCCTCAAAAGAAGTGAGGTTTTGTGGTTTTCTTAAGCGTGCAACAAGGGGGCCACTCTTGGAAGCACCATGAGGGGTATGTCATTTTTTAAGAAAACAAACAAGGCTTTGGTTTTGCCAAAGAAACAGCTTCCCTCAAAAAAAATGAGCCACCCATTTGCTGTTCACCTGAATATTTAAGCCCTGCGCGATTCATGTGTTCTGCGCCGAGTTGGCATCATGTGTTGCTTCGATTTCGTTGGGATCCCTGGAGATGCAAGCTTCCTTTTTTGGCAATGTTGATGTTGTGTCCTGTTTTTAGATTGGACCCCCAACATCGCAAAACGGTTTTCCTGTTGCCCTCAACACCCACAAGAGGCCCGAGCCTAAAAAGTCGAGCCGCGCCAAGGCGTCTTCGTTGGCAGCCGTGTCGCCTCGAGCCTCGGCTACCACTTGGACGACTTTGACAAGATATGGTCCTAGAGTCTCCATGACCCTTGAGAAAAGGGGTCTTGTCCCCTTTCTTTTGGATAATGACCCCATTTTGCAATGGGTCATGGAGACTCCAGGATATGGTAAAATATCGCCCCCCGCCCCCCAGCGGTGCTTTGCTTCATCATGTCACGAACACAACAAGCTCCAGGCTGAGGCCCAAATGGAAGGTTCTAGTGTTGAAAAAAGCTTTGCCCGGAAAGAGCTCCGGATGTGTGCAGCCCAGTTGCGGGGAAATGCGAACGAAGAATCGCGAACTATGCGCCAGTGTTTGCTCAGGGTAGGAACTTGTACTGCTTCGGATGAAGCACAAGTCGGCCACACTGGAGTAGCGTGGGATGGGATAGCGTTTGCATTCCTTGAATGGTCAGAAGACAACAGCTGTTTCGATGTTTTCTGAGAGAGTGAGAAATGATGGGAGCCATAATATCCAGGACGGTTTCTGGGAGTGTTCCAGGAGGGTTCTGGCAGAATTTTGGCCGATGGTATTGGACAAGGGCTCGAGAGTTATTTCCCATGTTGGTAGTTTTAAACACCTTTTGGGCCCATGAAAGGTGAGTGTCCCTTGACACCAAACATGGAAAACATAAGTAATTAAACAACACAAAATCATAAAAATAAGTAATTGTACAACATGGACAAATATTAAACATGATGCAAATAAACACATGGAACAAGTAAATAATCCACACAAACAATTGGAAAACAAGTAAACAAAGTACAAACAACTGAAAGCCGTTCTTAGCTCTCTTCAGGTGGTATGCACTCAATGACTAAGCAACGATCCAGGATATGTTACTCGACAAGCATACATCTATAAAGAACATTTTTTGGAATTTACCTGCAAATGTCATGAACGATTTCAAGTGTTTTGATGCAGTTTTCATGCAACCAAAGTATTGTTTCGTACACCAGTGCTCAAGTTTGCAATTCAAAGCAAATATTGGAGACTTTATATTTGGGGGTCTGAGGGATACTCTTCTTACCCTGATTGTGAACGGGCCCTGATGTAATGCTACACTACTCAGCACAAAGTGTCAATGGTTTTTGCATAATTCAGACATCATTAACATGAATTTGCGTGTGTGTAAATTTGAGAAGTATACGCAGTTTGTGGGTGATGTTTGAGTGGAAAGATGGGAGCCCTGTTGGAGCTCTTCCCTGGCCGCAGTCTCAGGCTGCTGTTCGTGAACTCGCCAGCTCAGAACCTCCGTGCCTGGCCGCATCGGGAAGGGGAGAAAAGGCGGCCAAGGTTCGCTCAAAATGTCCAGTGTCCATTTGGGAGGGCAACGAAATGGACTCACGAAATGTCCCACGAAAGCCAGGGTTGCATCGTGGCTCCAATGAGCCAAGTGCGGATCGTAGATCTGATTTTGCAGATTCAACCACGCTTCTCAAGCGCACACCACAAGCCCTCGTGCTTGTGTTTGCGCTGGGTGATATGCGGCAAGCTTGGGTTTCAGATTCAACACATCAAGCTAACAGGCCACGCAAGCAGGCAAGCCAGCAAGCAGGCCAGCCAGTACCGCAGCTCTCCATCCGGCAAGACAGCAAGAATGTTGACCCCATATTGATCAACCCCAGTTTATTAATAGGGGGTGTCCCTGGGTTCAGTGGGCAAAATATCTCTACTGGAGGGAACCCCCTACCAATAAACTGGGGTTGATCATTATAGGTCAACATTTGGCCCTGGTTTATTTGGTGGATGATTCACCAACCAAGCCAACCAAGCAAAAAGCACGCCTATGGCCAGGGGAACCACAATACGGCTATGGGTCCTACCCCAAAATGGTACCATTGGTTTTGACCCACGGCCACATGACCGCGAGCGAATTACACGACTGCAAGCTGAGACTGCTATTCTGCGCCGCGTGTTTTTTTTTTTTTTAAATATCAGGTAGCTCTGTGGCCGCCAGAGCAGTGGATGAGCTGCTTGGATGGTCAGGTGGCGGAGTGTTTGGGAGGAAACCGGCCATGTTCAATGAGGATGCTCAGAAATTCTTGTTGGACATAAGCTCCCACCACAGGGCCGAACCAATCATAGCTTGTTTTCTGGGTCGGCCTGGAGGCAGCGACGTCTCGGGGTGGTATTGCCTGTTTGTTCGGATGTCAGGCTGGGAGCGTCTTGAGACCAGGTGCACTAAATAGGACCAGAATCTTACAACGGAATGTTTGGTCAGGGCAAGCTGAGATTGGGCTATGGCAGCAATGATTGGGTCCTGTGTCCCAGCATCTCAGCTCTCGTGCAATGGGACGCCAGGCTTGTCCTGTGAGACCTGATTGAACAAAAACTGGCCTGTGTAGGATGCGACTCTGGAGGGCCGGCTTGTGTGCGGACGGCTGCAAGTGGTGGATTGCGTCGGTGGAGTCTGCCATTGTCAACAGATGGTTTTTACTTGGTTTGCTTTGGTGGTTGTCAACCTCTTGGTAGGACATGTGTACAACAATGATAGAGATTCCTTACACAAGTACCATGTCCAACACGGAGTCTTGGCCTCAAAGAAGACGCATCTTGAGGGGAGGGCAGTTTATCAAGCAGCCCTTAGTTGGTGATTTGAATTGGTGGTTTGGGGATTTGAGGGTGAATGGGACCCACCTTTTAACCAAACCACGTAGCTTTGGAAAGTATGATCATTCAACGTGGTCCTGAACTTTCAGGCGTGACGAGGGCTTGGTGCTCATCACGCCGGAGGAGTCTGGGAAGGTGGTGAAGAGGGACGTGAACAACAACCCTCCCCGTATCGCGTCTCGGCGAGCCATTTGGGGGGCTCTGGGTCCAAGATGCGGCTGGGAATTCAAGACCCATGAATGCAACCTTCTTGATTTCGTGGCAAATGATTGCGGCCTCGGATTCAGCCCGGGGGGGGTGTCTTTTGAGGACACTTGCTTCTGGCATTGTTGTTGAGAATCCTTTGGGGAATGATTTTTTCTGGGGCATATACTACATATTTATAAAACATAGTGGAGTTCGGGGGGTGCAGACGCTTTTTCTGGGAAGGGGGCGAAATGCTACATTGAAACAAGCCCATCTTGAAGTTCTGGAGACTGGTTCTCAATCTCAGAAAGCATGCCGCAACCCTTGAGCCCATCGAGGTCATGAAGACCAACGACTGGGACCAGCCGGAGATCCAGCTGAGCACCGGCGCCAGCAACCAGGCCGCTGCCCAAAGGAAATGGACAGAATTCGATCTTTTGGGCTACAGTTTTCCCATGCCCCCAGCTTCATCAGTGAGAGGCACTGATACCTTGCGAGAGGCAGTTTTTTTTGGGAGGGTCTGACTATGAAAGCAGATGCCGCAGATCCTCTAGTTGGGTCTAATTTTCTTTGAGGCTACCCTATTTGGGCTGGTTTTAAAAGGAACTCCAAGACATTTTTCGGGGTCCCCTATTTTGAGGCACACCTAGTTGAGCGCGAGACGTGTGATTTGCTTTCAACCCGAAGTGTCAAAGGACATTTGATGGGGAACATCATCCACATGCAAATGTAAAAGGGCCCCTTGGTTTCAATTCACACGCAACCAACTCAGTACACGTGAGCCTTTGGGGACTGAAGCCACGTCCAGCTACGCTCGTGTAAGCGTCAAGCCCGGCTAAGAGCTGGAGCGGAACCCATTGGACATAGCGTCCATAGGGATTTATGTCCAAAGGTCGAGGATACCTTCAATTCACCTCGCAATGTTTGAGCAAGCAAGCAAGGCCGCAGATCGAGTGCAGTAGCGACCCTTGAGGTCACAAGCTGTGTGAAAGATAGATGCCTATGGAGTAACTGAAAGTTGTCCCTAAATGGTAGCTCTGTATCAGTAGTTTGGTGCATGTCCAAAAAAATAGGCGTCATCTGGTGACTTTGGGTGCCAATATGTACAATATACTTGTATATATATATATGTTAGCCATAGGGATCCACACATGGATCTCTTTGGCACGTGGCCAGATCAACTACATCACCCCGGTGGTTGCCTCCGATGACATCAAAGCCTGGCCGGACACCCAGAAATCTCAGACGGCTTCGTGGGAGGCTGGTTGAGATGCGACGGTATGTCTTCCACTTGGCCTATGGAAAGGCGGGGCTTACAAGGCTCACTGGAGAATGTCAGGCAGTTTCCCATGTTTTTCCCCCAGCTTTCCATCTTCAGGGCAGGGGAATGGCTGCAATTCGTGATAGGCTCATGATGTTTAGGGCGGCTCACCTGTGAGCTGAACTATTGATACTGTGGATGGACGAAATCCCGCACCACTCTGAAACCATGAAACACCATTGTTGCTTGGTCATCACTCTTAAATGTCAACATCATTGAACGCGCCGCTTGTATGGACACCCGGCGTCAGCATCTATGTTTCGTATCGCACTCCCCACCCTTTCAATGGCTTAGCCGCCTTTCGAGCTCTTCAGCGGATCCATGCGGATCTGACGGGGTGAGGCTGTCGCTGAATGTGAACTTCTTCTCCATCCTCGCGCTGCTGACTGTGGGCTTCGGGCCTCAGCTTCAGACGTTTGGAAGCTGACGCTTTGGGGGTTTTGTTAAGGCCTATGCTGTTTAGCCCTGGCAAGCCATACCTTGCCCAAAGCTTGTAGACCAAACTCAACAGCGGGGTTCGCTGGCCAGTTCCTGATAGGGTCGGTTAGTCCGGCCTGTGTTTGTTTCAAAGATTGCAAGCCGTGCATGCCTACTCACCTCAACTCAAGTGCATCGTCCATCTGTTGTTGTTTGTTTAAAAATTACGTTTGACTCTGTTCAAGGGGGCCTTATTCGTCGATACTGTCATAGCTTTAGTCTGCGGTGAACTTTAATGTGCACCAGCGACTGATATGCTTCAAGGATTTGCTTGGCAGATGATAGCTACCTGGACCTCCCGGCCCATATCCTGGGTATCTTTCGCGGACGTTGGGAAGCAATCCCGTGAGGTTTTGGCATCGATGCTTCAAGCCGCAAAGCCTGAGGCGGCATCATCGAGATCCAGCGCTTCTTCCCTGACACGCTGTACTGGTGAGAGGTTGAGACGCCATGCCATGGCCGCGTAGTCTGATGTCACGGGCGCTCTTGGAAAGGAAGGGCTTTCCATAGCACGAATTGTCTTTTCTTACACCCCAACAAACAATTCTAGCTGTTTCTTGGGTTTTCCCTTACAACTATCCCAAAAAAGGCACCCCCAAAAGACACCCAAATGCAACCTTCAAAATGGGCTGGGTATCAATCCCCATGCAAATCATGTCAGAGCCGCTCGACGGTTCCCCCACCGCACCGTGGGCCGAATACTCGGCCCCTTTTTGAAAGGCCTCGGATCGAATTCTGCGAGGAAAAAGCTGCAGAGGGTTTGCCGGGTCAGTTTTCTTCTTCGAGTAGTAAAAAAAAACGGTTCAAAGGGACATTGACAGAAGACCACCCCATTTTCGGAGCCCTACTATGTTTGGCATATCCTTGCATTGATGAATTGGCGTGTGATCAGACGTGCAGCATGGTGATCGAGCATCGCAACAGCCAAGCAGCCAAGCATATAGGTTGCAGAGCATTGTCGATTTGACTTTGTCTTAAAATACGTGGATGGACGAAATCCTTCACCACTTTGGAACCATGGGAAGCCATTGTTTGTTGGTATTTGCAGGGGAATGATCATTCTATAGGGATTCTGAGTTGGTGCTAAATGGACTTTGTCCATCCAGAGATTGGACGTCGTTTTGGTATCAGAAGGGACTGCACCGAGCCTGCTATGATACCACAGCTGTATGAAGCTCAAACTGTGGCACCGCCATCCTCATGCGGCTGGCATTGTGCCTTGCGGTACCTTTCCTCAGGCAGGGCCCTCCCTTCAACGCAACAAATTTCTTCATAAGGGAGAGCCAATTGCACAGCCCATCAAACCGAAGGCATATTGGGTGTTTGGGTGTGTCTCCAAATCACTTCAATAATTGGTTTCCCTGCGACTCGCTTTTGAAACACCCGCAAAGAGTAAGTGCCCTCAAAAGAAGGGAACCGCAGCGCAACGGAATGAAGTTTGGCACCTGGAAGCAATCTGCGCCAAGACAGAAATTCTGCCACTGCTCATGTCAACTTGTCGCTAGCATGAAATCCTTCGATTTGCGTTTCACTCATCGGGCCTCTTTCAACAAACACTCTTCCTTTGTGTTTGTTGAGCTCCCAAACAAAATGTCAATTCCAAATAGGTTTGCAAGTTGCTTTGTTCTACCCGGGTCACCAAAATGGGAGCTGGACAGATTGTCATAACGACGACCATGACCCAAGTCCAAATTGTGAAAGGTGTTCCACTCCAAATGTGGATGTGACATCTCATTCAATAAAGTGGACTGCCGTTTATTTGTACTGCTGCAGCAGTCGCCGACCCTGTCACAGGTGTTGCTCTGCGCAGAGAGCCTATTTGTGTGACCGCGTGGATGCTGTCAAGATTCTTATCTTCATTGGGTTGAGCAAAGCATGCTGTGCCCTGGTGCGTTGGAGTTCAGAACCCCATTCAGAAATCCAACTGGGTGGAAGGTAGGCACATGTAGGGACAGTCCCAGCCGCAAAAGTTTGCGGCCGCATTATCCTTTACCTGGTTCTGGGCTTGGACCATTTTAATACCGCGTGTGAATTCTGACTCAACTGGTTTCAAGATTTGATTTTATCAACCATTTACCAGCAGAACCAGCTATACCCATCCATTGGTCCAAAAGTTTAATGTGTGATCCACTTTGGTAGCCATCCATTTGTCCCGGCAGTTTGGCATTGACGGTATCGTCATGAGGTACGGGGCGAACAACGTAGACCTTACAACAAAGACTATGCGACCTTACTCATGAAGAAGGCTCTTCCTTGGGATTCCTTTCCGTGAGTTGTTAGTTATGATTCACCAGGATAGAATCATGAGCAACTCGCAGGGCGTGTGTTTGTTCATATTTTTGTCATGTGCAATTAGCAGCCTTTTAACTTCTGTTTTTGGTCCTTCTTGAATTGCAGGTGAAATTGCGATGAAAATTGTAGTTTGCCATCAGATTGCCTGGTCTCCCCCACTCTTGCGCGCACTTCAGGAATGGGTCTTTGACGCAAGCGGACGCATTGACGGGTATTCATCTCTCTATTGGCACTGGAGTGTGGGATGAGCGGTTTCTGCGCTGGGACCCGCTGTTTCAGAGATGGTCTGGCGCCTTGGACTTGTTTGGAAGAGTCTTTGGGCACGTCGTTGTTTTTTAAGGGATCGGACCCACCCGCCCCCAATCACTCGCTGAGTTCATGGACTTTCAAACTGCCTGGGAGACCATTTGAGTGGCAAACAAACAGGTGGGACTTTGTTTGGCCAATCCACTCAGGAAGCGAGCCCAAATTCCTGTTTTTTCCTTCTGGTTTTCGCCTTTAAACCGCAAGAAACGGAGTACCCCCCAAAAAAGGTACACCCGGTCGTCGTTTTTGGCAGATCCACTGGGGGCTTTTGCAGGAAAACACTCAAAATAAAGTTCCCTTTTAGGAGCCGCCAGGCTGGACACGGTGGATGACTATAACCAACCATGCAACAGCAATGTGCCGCACCGTCCGACCCCATGCGCTCCTCACGCTCTCAATTGAGCATTGTACACCGAGGAGCAAGCAACAAAAGGATCGCTCTTTGATCGTGGGCAATTGATGGCGAGCTCACCTTTCTCATGAGCCTTTTCGAGCCAGCTCTTTCTGCCTGAGGGTTCCTTATTTCTCGTTGGTGACTATTTGCTCAGGTCCTTTCAGGGGCTGTGTGCGGATAGCTTGAAATTGTCTTTTCGGGGGCATGGCACACCTGGCACAACACACGGAGGTTGGGACCTCTGTAAACAGTGTTTCAAGCAAAAGGCACCTGAGAAACGGCATCTTCTGGCAAAAGTGTGTTGTATGTTTGTATGTTTTGCCTTTGGGCCCGTGACTTTGCGAAGGTTGCTGAGTTTTGGCTGAATCGGATCTTAATTGGAACCCAGTTGATAAATAAACCATAGGGTTCATAGGTTGGTTTAGGAGGGAAATCTGCGCAGTTCGGGAAGCGCGCACACACATATCATTTGTCAGATGCATTCTTCCCGCTTCCACAATTGGGAGTCCCCGACGCTTTCTCATCTTGCGTGCGCCGCGAATCAGGATTAGAAGTGGAGCTCCTTGACCAGCTGTCTCTGAGCGCAGGCTGGACATGGGCCACATGCATGGCGGCGTCCGCAAGATCTCATATGACATGTATGAGGTCTCAAGCCGCATGTTAAGCCTGACCCTAAGCAAAAGAATCAATTCAATCTCTACAGCTTGAAGCCAGCTGTAAGCGTCGGCCAGCAACCCCAGCTAGCAACATCGTTGCTAGCAGAGCAACATCGCCAGCGGTGCAACCAGTATTCCCATGGCCCACATGGGAGTTTCGACCATGGTTCAATATGCGGAGGTGCTGTGGGTGGACGAATTCCTGCACCACTTTGAAACATGACCACATTTGGGGGCAATTGGACGACCCGGGCCTTGCTCAGGCTTAGAACTCAAGCCTTCAACAAATGAGCAAGCTGCGTATGTGAGTGTTCGAAGAAGCAACTTCCTGGACATCACTCAAAATGGGTTGGACCATTTTAGTGGCAAATAAGAAGTTTGGACTCTTTAGCCAGTCCGCCCAGGAGCCAAATTGTGGTTGTCCTTTGGGTTGTCCTTCAAAACCACCAAAAAAGGGTAGCGATAAAAAGGACCGTATTGATTGGAAGAGATGCCACCTTCCATCCTGGCCATGCACTTGAAGCCCCACCCAGGCTGGTGAATGGCATGAACAGGCCATACTTGTTCTGTCTCGGGAAACATGGAGCGGCAGCCGCTCCTTTCACTGGAAGGGAGGAGAAGGCAAACCAGCGGTCATTGTCCTTCCTCTCTCACCCCATCTCACCTAGTGACGAAAGGGGTGTAAGGGAGATAAGGAATGATAGCTTGGGCTGCGATTCTCTGCCTGGTCTCACTGTTCTGTCCTTCACTGTCATCTACGTCCTCTATCTTCTGCCCTAGCGTAGCTTACAGTGAACAGTGGATGAGGGTCCAAAAAGGACATGACCTCTGTCGGCAGACAAAAAAAAGATACAGATATGAAAGGTAAGTTCATCTATCTATCTTCTCCTGTCCATGGGCCCACCCAGATGTTCCCATGTCCTCTTGGGGAAGCAAGCAACATTGTCCGAGTATCAGATCACCTTTGCACAAAAGCGTAGCGAAGAATCGCCTGAGAGATTGCGCATTTGGCAGAGAAATGGCGCCAAGAGATCTCCTGACAGATTGCACGGACAGATGACATCAAGAGGTCGCCTGCGAGATCGTGCGGGGAGAGATGCTGCAGACACATTTTGCGGAGATATCGTTTGTGAGAGAAAGCAAAGCAAGAGACGGCTTGTTAAGATTGCAACGAAGGATGGCGCAGAAGTTTGCAGACAGAGAAAGGGATTCCAAAGACAGATTGTTTGCAGCGAGACTGCTTACATAATAAGCGTCACAGAGAGATCAGATACTTTACAGAGAGTTCCCTGTTTTAAGACAAGCCCGACGATTGCCCAGAAAGATGGCACAGAAATCAGCAAAGGGGACGCAGCGGAGAGCTCGCGAAAAAATGTGTCATTCGCTTCTTCGGAGAAAGTCGGCCAGCCAGCTGGTCTGTCTTCCTCATTCCCGGAGCTCCTGAACTTGAGTCACTTCTTGGGACCATTTTAGTGGTAAGTATCCACTCGGAAGGGAGCCAAAATTGCAGCGTTCCTTTCGGTTTTCCCTTCACGCCGAAGGGGCTAGCCAACTTCGGAAAAGGCGCCCCCGTTGGCTTCTGGTCTCCAGGCTTTACCTACCAGCTGGTCATCAACGACTGGTCCAACGTGACCAACTGGCGGAGAAAGCTGCGAGAAGCGGTGCTGGAGAATTTCGGCTCGCCAAGCGCTGGTGTTGTTTTTCTTCGAAAGGTTTCTTCGCAGTTTGGCAGCGGATCTTTGAACTTTGACTGCGTGGTTCAAGCAGCATATGTTCCACTGAACCCGCAAAAGTTATATATATATATATATGTATATGTATATGTATATGTGCAGAGGGGTCAACAGCAACCAAGGTTTGCTTGCAAAGGTTTCGCGATAGGGGGGTGTCTCAAGATAGGGTTGCCAACCAAAAGGGGTGGCGTTCTTTAGGTTTCCCTTTGAAAACAAGAAAGACAACCAAAGAAGTGTACCCCAGTTTCCTCTGGAGACCGGATAACGCCCTCCTGGTTTTGTGTCCTGGTGCAATGCATTGTGGTATTCGTTTGCTTGCCTGTGCCCATTTTGATTCTGAGCCAGCAATGTGATATCGAACTGTGCCGGTGCATGCAGCTACAGTGGCGTAGTTGACAAATGTGTCATTCTAGGGACACCCCCTTCCCAAATATTGTGGTTTCCCTTTTGGTTTCCCTTTGAAACCTCCCAAAAATTGGTACCCTGCAAATCGAGAGTTGCACATAGCCGCAAGAGACGTTTTGACTTCCAAAGTCTTGTCAGGCGGATGCTGACATGCCGTTCCCACACTGACCCTGTCTCACATCTCCTCTTTGCACCCTTGGCCAGTAAGATGGCGATACAACTGACACACTTCAATAGAGTAGCTAGACTTGCAACAGGATATTGAGGCCCTGGTGAGAGAGCTTCACTTTTGAAGGCTTGGCCGTCCTTGAGCGTGCACTGGCGGTGCAAGCCGTGACAAGTGTGTTACTATTGGGTACGAACGCCAATCAAAATGTCGCAAAGGTGGCTTGACTAACTGGCCATTGGCACGGGCAAGTTTGAGCCGAGGACTTGCACGGCAAGTTCGAGGGATGTGTGTGTGTGTACATGTGGGCGTGAATGAATCAATATTTGGGTGTATGTTTTTCGATTGGTGTCTGTGGCAGATGGGCCCCAGAGACAGCATCCCTTAGGGAAACCCGGTTTTGACTGGGCCCAGCCTGGCACCCTTTTTGGCAAACAAACCCAAAGGTTGGGCCAAAGAAAGGCTTGCCTGGTTTTGAATGGAGACTTTGCCGTGGGCCCCCTCATAGTGAAGCTCCTGTGCCAAAACCAAACTGAGCCCATTGCCTTTCTCAGAACTGAGCAAACAGTGATCAGGAGGACTGGACAAGAGTTCAATTTGTTCTTGTTGTCAACTTGCTTCACATCTGGGGAACCAACTGTAAAGTCTCGGGTAACCCCTAGTGCGTGATTTGGATTGGTTTGGGAATTTGATCCGGTTCTCGTAGAGGGTACGCCATTTCAACACCAAACCACCCGGGCTCCCCACACCGATTGAAAGCTGCGAGTCTGGCTTGACTGAGGTGGGATGTGGTTGCTCATGCTTGGTGGTTCATCACCCCGGTGCGGATGTCATTGGGGGCCTACAGCCCTTACGGCTTTCTGGACTCCATGTTCTACACCGTGGTTGTGCCACAGATGCATTGGCTCGCTTCGAACAACCCCCATGTCAACGAACTTCAGGCAGGGGCACGTCTACTTTGGGGTGAAAAAGGCGGCAACCCGCCCCCTTTTTTTCTCCGCAGCAAGCCTATCGCCTCACTGGTCGACTTGCAGGCCTGCGCCGCTAAGCTTTGTGTGATTTGTGGAGATGCCGGAGCAACCAAGCTGCTGGCTGGCGGTGCTCACCGTTTGTTGTGAACGCCCTCCCTTTCTCTGAGGACAAGGATGCTTCTTGCAGGCGCAGTGCATGTAGCGGAACGGCTGCTGAGAGGTGATGCTGCTGATGCAATCAAGCTCCCAGCTGACACGTCTTGTTTCTTGTGCGTGCAAGCTTTTACGCATTGTTGTTATGAAAGATCCCCGCACACGTGTACGGAGCTCTTCCATTTGTGCCGCGGGACAGCACTGGAAGCGGAACGTGTGGGGTGAAGATGCTGCAGAAGCAAAACTCCGGGAAGCTGAGCAAGAGCCTCCCACTGGGATATGGCTGTGGGTCAAAACCAACGGTACCATTTTGGGGAAGGTGCACCACCCATTTTTGTTTATGTTAGTGGGGATTGGGATGTTCACTGGGGGTACAATTTGGCTCATGCCTTGTGTTTGTCAGAGGTTCCCACCGAAAACAAGTTGGGCGCGGGCTAGGGACTCCTTTGCTGACGTCCTGCATTGGCAGCGCATGCAGTAAGCAAACAGCAGCTGGGACTCGCTGTGTGACGCATGGCGATGCTTCTGATGCAATGGTTCAGAGCGTGATGGTTTCCGTTGCTCTTTTGCGTTCGGAGTGCTTCCCTTATCTTGCATCTAACAGTTCCCAGCGGGCATCAGTAGCGGTCTTTCCTTTGACCCCGTTTGTTCATGTTCTTGCCCGTTTTGCGGCGTTGCGCGTTTGGGGAGAGAATGATGTGTTGTTTGCGCTTGCACGCAACGCATATAGAAATAGAAGCAACTAGCAGACAGCGTGTGGAAGGGCCCTAGGTGAAATCAATCTCCTGGCTGGTGGTGGTTCTGTTTGTTGGCTAATTTCTTCTCTACCTCTTTTCCGACTTGTGTTTGTTTTCCGGACAGACACTGAAAAGGCAGCCAAGCGGCCCCCGGTGATTCATGCGTTTTTTGCAGGAGAGAAGTTGAATGGCCCTCAGTGGCTGTGCTGGGACCTTGTTGCTGCAAGCTGAGTCTAGAAAGGTCCTGAGAGGTTGTCTCCAACAGCCTGCAACAAGCACCGTTTGTGGGGCGCGGGCAAGAACAATGCTGATGTTCCCCTTGGCAGACCGTGCCGAACGGTTCGGCATGCTCGTTGCTGATGATGCCGCCTGCGTCGGTCTGCTAGTGTGATGCTGGTGATGTTGGACGGGCGGTCCAGAGAAATGTTTGAAAAATGAACTGTATTTTTGGAATGCAAGGACCTGATTGCTAGCGACAGGCAGCGCATTCGATTGGTTTGCACTCAATGGCATGCAGTGGTTGATTGCTCGACTAACCGGACAGTTTCTATGTTCCAATGGGTCCAGTTGGTCCGTTTGTTCCTGGTGCAGTGGCACAGGTGTAGCAAGCAGTGATTCAGTGACCGTAGCGCACATCAACTCATTGCTGCCGCCTGAGGTACCCGAAGAAGTGGCCCGCTTGTCCATGAATGAGATCTTCTCTTTCCTGACTCCATTTAGCGGAGCAGTCTGGCTGTGCTTCCTTCTCTTGATGATTGCCACTGGCCGCCTGCCTAGGGAACTGAGCATGGGGCCGCGCTCTTAGCTGTTGTATATTTTGGGTGCAGATTTGAAGGACACCACAGTTGACCAAAAACCAGTCTGGGAAAGGGCAGAGAGCATCATCTTTGCCCTGGCGATCCCCTAAATCCAAGCTCAACGTGAGGATGTGGGATTTTGCACTGCAGCGGTCGACATGTGCCCAGTGTCGTGTGATGTGTGCACTCGGCCCATCAGCGATTCA